AGAATTCAACATAAGATGAAGGAGAATTACCCTCATAGAATGTCATGTCAAAAAGGCATGGAATTTACCAAGTCGCACACATTCAGTTATCAAAAAGTCGTATGAACTATAAGACTATGTATCTTTATAGACTGTTGCTCAAATATAGTTTGGTTTTAATCCCAGTGATGAGGGGGGCGTCATTTAAAACAAACAAACAAGGAAATGATGTATTCAAAGAGGTCAACTAAGAAGACTGAGGTCTTCTTTTTTTTTTGAGTACAAACTGGTAGAAGTCGTTCAGTGCTCGACTACCAATTCTAACTGTGAAAGGTTGAATCCACTAAGTGGTGCCTCAGAAGAAAGGACTGGTGACTGCTTTCAAAAGGTCCCACCCCTAGGGAGCTCATTATGCGCACTCTGAAACCCACCGGAGTTGTCCTGAGTCAGAAGCAACCCAAAGGCAACTGTTCTGGTTGTTGCCCTGCAGGACAGAGTAGAATTACTCTATTACGTCTTTAAGGCTTACAATTTGAAAGTTGATTGCTTAATCTCTCCTGCAGAGGGGCTGGGGTGTTCAAACCATCAGTGTTCATGTTAGTAGACCAGTGCTGAACCGGCTGCACCACTAGGACTTCTCTGTATACCAAAGAATGTATAAATATTTAAATGCCTGGAATACAGAATAATCCGTAGGCATCCTCTCCAAAGACATATACAGATGCACATGTGTGCATCTACACAAACACTCCATTATATTGAAGTGTAATTTTTCCACGAACTCTTTGAACCTGCAGCATGTGTGTGTATCTATGCATGTATGTGTATGTGTGTTTAGATGCCAAAGGCTTAACCACTGCATCAGCACATTTTCTCAACAGTGTCATCATTGTGACCTATTTATCTAGCTTTAGTTTCCTCTGAGGCTTTTTATCTCTCTTTATTTGCTTTCATCTTTCAAGTGTCAATTCCATGGCCGAAACTTTTCTCTGAGAGGTTAATTTGAGTTGTCACAGCTATTCCGAGTCTAAGACTCACATCAGTTTGAGTTCATCAGAGTTCTAATGAAGGAATTGGCAAACTTTTTCCTGGAAACAGAGGGTATTTTAGGCTTTGCAGGTCATTGAATCTCTGCCCACTGTTGTAGCTTTAAAACAACATTTGGCATTACATAAATTCAAGATCATGGCTATCTTTAAATAGAACTCTACTGGCCAACACCGAAATCTGAATGTTTTGTAACCCCCATGTGTCATGGAATAAAATTCTTTAGCTTTTCCCCCAACAACTAAACATTTGCAAACCATGTCTTATTCACGAGACACATAGGAATTGGCAGCAAGCAGAATTTGGCCCCAGCAGGCAGTTTGCCCCTCTTGCTACATTGTATGCATTAGTGTCAATGGGTTGATGATGACATTACTGGAGCACCTCTGTGTCATAGAAACCGGCAACATAAATAATATTCTTCAAATACGGAAGACTTAGCCACATTTTCTCTTCTCTCATGTTACATTTAAGGTCCATCTCAATTAGGTTGAATTTCAATTTTAACTTTTGTTTTCCTTGGAAGGCTGTCTCTCCTGGGGCTTTGTTGGTTGTTTTTTTGTGTGCGTGTATTTTTTTCTGTCATTCCTTGGAAGAACCGGTAACATTTCACTTTAGATCAGTCTACAGATTTAAAACTTTTGTAGAAAAACAAACTCATATATCCTATTCTAATCACCCACATGGGCCCATACTATTTAATGTGACAGAGAAGTCAACCAGTTCCTTTTAGAGAAAAGAGAGAGAAAAAAGTCTCCTCTAAACTAAATATAACCAATGCACGTCTTGCGAATTTATAAAGTCTTATTTATGCTATAGGATCTATAATATATAACTTTAGATTTAGCATATTATTCTCTCCAATATTGATAAATACATAGAAAATCTATTCTCTGCATTTTGTGTCTTTAGATAGAGCGCTTGATACGATGCATGGACCTTTGACCAAAAAAATTGACACAGGGGCTGCGACAAAGGGCTCCAACCTAACAACTGAAAGATGCAGAACCGGGCGGCGTTTCGTTCTGTTGTCCACTGGGTCACTCGAGTTGGAATGGACTTGGCCATACCTGTCAGCAACAGACACAGCTTTGATTTCTCTCAGTCCTATGGGCAGCTGAAAGAGTGTGGATTGTCTCATGTGCTTCTAGACTAGGCTTCTGGTTTATCATTTGTATCTGCCAGCTTCCCATCGGTCTCTTATAGGAAAAGGGTACCGTGATACACTTCCACCATAGAACTTCCTTTCACCTGGGTGATAAGAACAATTTGTTTTCAATTCCTCCGGTCATTTTCAATCCGTTAAAGCAAGTGTACAATATTTAGTTGCTACTCATTCCATCAACAGGTTGTAGGGAGTTTGGTTTGGTTAGATTGGGGAATGCCTTTTATAACGGCCATTTTGAAAAGTCTAGGAATTCCCTTCATCTCATCTGTAGCCATGTTTCTGGAAGAAAATGTGTCCAAGGACCAAGAGGTGGCATGCCCCCGTTTCCTACTAGCTGTCCATGTTTAAGGAAGCAGACTCCCCTATCTGTCCCCCACACATAGGTGCTGGCGGGTTCTCAGCACTAACCTTCACATTAGCAGTCACGCTCCCAATTACTTGCCGCCAGGGCTTATTCATTATTACTTAGCCCCTTATTTTTTATTTTTCCTTTTACATTGCCATCTAGATCTTACATCCACACAGGGACACCTATAACACAACACAAAACCCACTGCCATCAAGTCAGTTCCAAGTCCTAGCACTCCTGTATGATCATTTGGGGAGTAGGTAGCCTCATGTTCCTCCCAAGGTGTGGCTGGTGGATTTGAATCTTGGATCATACAGTAAGCAGCCCAACGCTTACCCAACAGTGGCGTCAAGACTTCCAGGTGCACCCAGCATGTTTTCATAAATGCACCATACCCCCAGTAAAAGTGTCCTCTATTTGACAACAATGAATGAGGCACTGTGAAATTCTTACCAGTGAATATGATGTTGCTGTGAGGTGCCATCTATGCGACTGACAGATGGCAGCCCTAGCACATGGGATCAATTTGGCTTTTACTCACTGATTCCCCCCCCTAAGTAGGTAGCCAGGCCTTCCTTTCTAATCTGCTTGAGGCTGGATGTCTCATTAAACATCATTTAATGGCTGAGCTACGGGTAAGCCTCTATTGAGGGGCGAGTGGGTACTTCCCCTGAATCAACAAGAAAGCTGAGAATCCTATCAGGAAACACCTCGGCCATCCGGCAAGCTACAACCTTTAATGATAATACACTGAATTATACAGTCTACCTTGACTAACAAGTGCCTCATAGCAAAGGAATCCTTAGGCCTTTTGTGATTCAAAGGTCACAATATCGACCACCGACATTGTTGGCCTCTCTTATATCTTGAGAAGAGGTTATTATTCAAGTGGCAGCGTCCAGGTGCTGGCATTAGCCTGAACACGTGTGCATGTCTGAAGCAGGAGGCCGCATCCCACCAGTCCTACCACCAGTTTTCTTGAACTAAAAATGCCCCATAATTGTTGCAAAGTCCAGTCTTACTCACTTCTCTTTCTTGATTGCAGATTCTATTGAAACCACACAAAAAAGTCCAATGCTGAGATTAATTCAGCCGTGGAAGGCTTAAAATTCGTTCATAAAATGGACCAAAACCCAAACCAAACTCACTGTCACCCCGTCCACTAAGACTCAGTGAGCTTCTCGGGCAGGGAAGAACCGCTCCTGTGAGTTTCTGAGACCACCGCTCTTTATAGACGC